GACAACCTCGACTGACCTCGACGAGAGCATGTCGTATTTCTACACAAATGACTCGAATTGGAGCCAGGAAAATAAAACCAATCTGATTATCAACTATCTCCCTCCTTCTATGACACAGGAAGATGTGCATTTACTATTTTCTGGGATAGGTGAGGTTGAACGCTGTAAGCTGGTACGAGAAAAGACGACAGGCGAAAGCCTCTGCTACGCGTTTGTGAAGTTCTCTCATCCAGAAGACGCCCAAAGGGCGGTAGCCGATATCAATGGGCTGAAAATCGAAAACAAAACAGTCAAGGTTTCAGTCGCCCGGCCAAGTTGTGAAGCTATTAAAGGAGCTAACCTCTATATATGTGGCTTGCCGCGCAGTATGACCAATGCAGAATTGGACGACCTTTTTAAATCTTGCGGCAATATTATAACCTCACGGATTCTTTGCGAGCAAAGCAGTGACTGTTCGCGTGGTGTTGCTTTTATCCGGTTCGACAAGAGATCAGAAGCCGAGTTAGCAATCAGCCGCTTCAACGGATTCGTTTTGCCAGGAACGAACGAAGGTATAACCGTGAAGTTCGCAAATTCGCCGGGTCTTTCATCTGAGGGCAGAAGGTCCGCATCCTCAAGATCTGCCGCTGGTTCATCTGGCCAACGTAGTAGAAAATTCACTCAGAGTTCAGGAAATAACCAATCTTCCGAGTGTAAGGAAAGAAGACTTGAAAACAACTGCGGTCCAAAGTTTTCAGATATCAAACCCCTTCCTTTCACACCGCCATTCAGTTTCGGACAGTTACCAGGCCCGCAGTTCCGAGCACCACCGTTTGAAGCATTCAAACAAATAAGGAATGACATGCCTGTCCCGCCAATCTTTGGCTATCCGGGAGTCTATCAAAATCCATTTTGGCCGAACGTACCCTCACCGATTTACGGGCTAGGCAATTACGGCGTCTTCCAAAGACCCACTGCGCTCTCGAAGTTTAGGAATGCGCCCCGCGGTTTGCGCACAGCATGGGGCCCTATGGCAACTCCCCAAGCTCCGAGGCCCTTCATTCGACCTTCGGCTTTTATGCATCGGACAAGAGGACATACAGAACAGGATAAGACCGAGTTTTCGCGGGAATTCTCTGCTGCAACTCA